AAATCTTAATAATATTCATCAAAAGAGCTGTAATGTATCCAAAAACCGTAACTGTTTGTAAACATACGAAAACAAGCTTACAAGCGCGATTATATTGTAACCCAGATTTGAGGGAGTCAAAATTTTCTAACCTGAACCGGGTTTAGAAAATGGTTCTGCGATGGGAAATGAAATTAGAAAAAATCCAGGTTTTCTTCCTTTGACTGCCGCTGGTCCAATTAACGCTGAATACGACGGGTAAATTAAACTCTGTGTGAAGGGTATAATCAACCAGAAGTGTTTGTCAATGCTGCCATCTAGTGTTCAATTCCAGGGTCACCAATGGAATTACTTAATCATCAGACGGAATTGTAACAATAATAACCTATTTTGACTAACTTAAAGATTAACGTGGAGAAGGCTAGATAAACAAGTGCTTGCACCATTGTCTCAGCATTCAGACGGTTTGGTCGCTAGTCGAACATTGTAAAGAGTTTGTCGTGGGCTGTAGATGCATGCTCTAGTCGAGCAATAGTGAAACAATGTCCATTTCACGTGCAGTCAAAAGTCTGTTGTAGTCTAAAAAAGAGAATCAAAAGATGAAGCTCGAGATTCTTATAGTCAGTAGTTTCACCTTTTTGTCTCTCTTGAAAAATCGACTAAGTCTCATCTTCCAAGAATTTCACGTGATGTAGAATAATTTCCATTTAGCATTAGTCGAGATTACTATTCGGTCATTGGTCCTTGTCACCCCTTACATGGTAAGTTTTGATGTGGTAGTTGAGATCTCTCATGAGAACTATGTCCGATTTCTCACAATCCTTCATCCATGTAAAGTCAAAGGTTGACTTCCTCCACAATTTTTGTGTAGAAATTGTCTTCTTCTTGACACTTTCTCACGAAACAGTAATGGCTACGCTAGGTTTCTTCAGAAAAGAATTGAATAATTGACATAAAGTTGATTCGGGATTGGGGTCCATCGTTGTAATTATAACAGAAAATATTATAGAGTAACATAGTTAAAACTTTAGCGACAGCTTATTGGAAAATTTTGAATATGCTTACTCACACATTTGCTCTTTAGGTCAAAAAACAAGAATAATTAATAAATGATTAATTTGTCACTAGAATTAAATAAATTATGTTAATGGAAAATAACTATAATACGGATTGACACATCGTTAGTTAAAATGTCTACTTTTTACCAACATTAGAAAAGGTCTAAAAATATTTAAGATTTTAAAGCTTATTGGCATGTTATTCCTTTTTCTACACTTTTATATTTTAACTAGAACATGTTGCGTTTCGTTAATATTACCTCTTCATATTTTATCTATGAACAAAATTAAGGAAATCGGTTTTTATGCATAAATAAGTTCATTAATTCAGTTTTAATATCTTATAACAGAAAAGATGATAAAAATTAATGTTTTATTTACATATTTATTATAATTTGAAGTCTATGTAATAATTTGTTTAAAAAACTAACTATGCCATCAAAAAATGCCTTAACTTATTGCGCTGTATTTCGAAGTATTACTAATCCACCTACGATCAAATAGCTACAAATACGATTTTTTAGATTTTTCATCGTGTAATTAAAAGTCTTACATTTTCATCCAAGAATATTCTATTTTAAAAAGTTTTAATTAGAATATTAAAAAAAATAAAAGAATATAAAATTAAAAAAACTCATTAACTGTTAGATTATTCAAAATAGTTCTACTTTTTTTTTTCTTTAATTAAATATCGTAAAGTGATATTTTATCACTAGTGACATTGTTCAAGTTTTTTAAACGACATTAAACACATTTAATTAATAATGAGATTAACGTTGCGTTATCTTGATCTTCTTCATAAATCATATTTTTTTTCCTCTTTTTTATTCAACGAACTCTGAAACGAAAACAAAAGCAGCGAGAATAAATTAGGAGAGAAAAGTGATGAGAAGGGGAAAAAAAGTGTTAGATACTCATTAACTTTATTACATCCTGCAGACTTTTCAGAAAATTGCCTTAAAAGTAATGGATTTGATTTTAGTTAATTATTTAACATGCAGCGAAGATTCCATAAGCCATATTAATACTCAACAAAAACAATAAAACAATTTTGATTTTTTTTTTTATGTTTTATTGTGTATGTACAGAGATTTTTATCAAAATACTTCAAACTCAACGAAATATTTTATCAATCCTTCAACTGCCACCGGCATATATATCGGTCTCACTCAACCCGTGCGTTTTTATGTTTTATTGTGTATGTACAGAGATTTCTATCAAAATACTTCAAACTCAACGAAATATTTTATCAACCCTTCAACTGCCACCGGCATATATATCGGTCTCACTCAACCCGTGCGTTTTTATGTTTTATTGTGTATGTACAGAGATTTCTATCAAAATACTTCAAACTCAACGAAATATTTTATCAACCCTTCAACTGCCACCGGCATATATATCGGTCTCACTCAACCCGTGCGTTTTTATGTTTTATTGTGTATGTACAGAGATTTCTATCAAAATACTTCAAACTCAACGAAATATTTTATCAACCCTTCAACTGCCACCGGCATATATATCGTCTCATTCAACCCGTGCGTTTTTATGTTTTATTATGTATGTACAGAGATTTCTATCAAAATACTTCAAACTCAACGAAATATTTTATCAACCTTCAACTGCCACCGCATATATATCGGTCTCACTCAACCCGTGCGTTTTTATGTTTTATTGTGTATGTACAGAGATTTCTATCAAAATACTTCAAACTCAACGAAATATTTTATCAACCCTTCAACTGCCACCGGCATATATATCGGTCTCACTCAACCCGTGCGTTTTTATGTTTTATTGTGTATGTACAGAGATTTCTATCAAAATACTTCAAACTCAACGAAATATTTTATCAACCCTTCAACTGCCACCGGCATATATATCGGTCTCACTCAACCCGTGCGTTTTTATGTTTTATTATGTATGTACAGAGATTTCTATCAAAATACTTCAAACTCAACGAAATATTTTATCAACCCTTCAACTGCCACCGGCATATATATCGGTCTCACTCAACCCGTGCGTTTTTATGTTTTATTATGTATGTACAGAGATTTCTATCAAAATACTTCAAACTCAACGAAATATTTTATCAATCCTTCAACTGCCACCGGCATATATATCGGTCTCACTCAACCCGTGCGTTTTTATGTTTTATTGTGTATGTACAGAGATTTCTATCAAAATACTTCAAACTCAACGAAATATTTTATCAACCCTTCAACTGCCACCGGCATATATATCGGTCTCACTCAACCCGTGCGTTAAGTTTCGCGGACGGATATATCTGTCCTTCCAAAGTACGATTCTTTGCATTGTGCTGTTCTGTTTAAAACTAGTCCGGCGGCTTTCGAATGCAATAAAATGACCTTAACAATATTAACAATGAATTAACTTATTTCAGAGGAAAGTTTGATTATTTGTATCTTTTCTCCCCCCCCCCTCCTAATATACTGCATACGCGCGCCTATATGAAAAAACACGTGGCACTGGGAAGCTAATCATGTAACTTTTAATTGACGTTTAAGGGACAAAGGAGCACGTATAACATAAGAAATGATATAAAATAAAATTCATTGTATTTTTCAAATTCCTACTATTAGTTTACTCTCTCCCTAAAAATATATCTTGTTCAAGTTTTCAATTGTTAGTAAAATACTTTCTATTCATCCATTCTAGTTCAAATACATTTTTTAAAACTTGTAGTGGATAATACTTCATGTTAATACATTTTTTTGAAATATTAATTAACTTAAAAAATGAATAAATAGTAAAAAACAAAATAATAGTCCAACAAAGGAAAATAGCTCGCTGTGTCCCTGTAGCACAATCGATAGCGTATTGGATATTTAATCCAAAAGTCGTGGGTTCGAATCCCACCTGGGATGGTCTGATTTCTTTTTACTATAGTATTTTATTAGAATAACTGAATACAATTAATGAATAAATAGTAACAAAAACAAACAAAAAGTAGTCCAACACCTTATATAGAAAAGAAAATGGAAAATTGCAAGGAAAATCGCTTTCTATTTTGTAACTTAATATTGTAATTCTGTCATATGTATATACATATTTATATTAATTGTACCTATTTAATAAAAAGTAACTAAAATAAAAAAAAATTTCGTTGATCTAAGTAGGAATTGATTTTTAAAAAAAAATTTATGTTACTTGTTTAATGGATTGTTAAATACTTTCCTCATACGTACATATCGGAGGGGGGGAGGAGTGTCTTGTAGAGAGGGTGATGGTGCATGTCGGCCGTAATTTCTTCTCCAAATTGCATCACAATTGTTCAATAATATTGAGATCCAGGAACTGAGATTGCCACTCCCAGCCCCCAGGTCAGCCAATATGAGTCTATGATCCGCTACCTCCGATCAATCAGAGAGAAAGCTCTAAGATCTCACTCATGCCAAAAAATATCATCTCTACTGCACTCAGGTGATGAATCATACTCACGCCTCCCGGATGCTATCGTCTCGGCCAATAGCCATGATTCCTTGTAAGCAGAAAGAAAAACCCCACCATCTCCATGCCCAACATCAAAGTCAACCAGGATATGGGACTGAGGACTGTTTCACAGTCCAGATGCCTACATTACAACGCCCATGAGATTGCCAGCTGGGAAATATGATTTCGCCTGCAAGCTCTGCTAGCCACATCTAAACGAATCTAGCTTTTTCAATTTAACCACTATCGTCCCGGAAAACTATCTCCTGAAGGAAATTTAGGGAGAACCTATGGAACGAGTTTTGGGCCCAAATGCCCTCACACCCTCTCGTAATTATTCGATCTTCCATACCGATCTGCAAAAACCAATGAGGTTGTTGTAAAAATCATGACAAATCAGTTTTTCTGTTTCCCACTTGAAAAAAAGGCACTCCGAATGATGTGCTTAAGAAGTCGTTCTCCAGACGTAAACACATCTTGTCGTTGATAACAATGTAAATTACGATTCATTGGAACACGTAATTTTTTCATCCAACGCTCGATCAGACTTCTTGAATGCCCACGCGTGAAAATCGTTATTATCCACATTAGTCTGAAGTAATTTTGGAAAAAGCAATTCCCTTGTAATAGTAATTGTATATATGAGAACTTGTAGAATCTTCTGTCATTTTGGCGGCAGTCGTCTTCTTTTTTGATACCACGATGAGTTTTGACATCTGACAGTCCCTCCAAGTTAACTTTTATTTTCATCCACAACCGTTCTCTGTGGCGGTTCCCCCCCCCCCTTAAACGTGATGTGGGGTTATTACCTTCGATATTGCATATGAAGAAATAACCACAACTTGATTGGTAACGATTAAATAATCTCTAATTAGACACATTGCAACAATTTGTTGTCTCTGAAAGTCTATAGAATGGACTTTCTAAATCATGCAATAAGTATAACGTCTGCAATTTTATAACAGACAAAGAGAGTTGTTAAAATATATGAATTGGTGCAAGAAAAAAAAGATTCTCGTAGTTATATTTGTGAATGCAACCCTACGTGAAACACCATACCCTATTTATACTATTCATGCTTTCGTTATTTTAATAACTTTCGAATAATATGTATTTTAATAATTTGTTAACTTTTTAATGATGTAAAAAAAATCTCAAATCCTTCATCTTTCTCTACAGTTTTATTAATAATAAAAAAGCATTCCAAGTAAGAAAAAATTTTCCAGAAATTCATCATTTCACCAAGTTTGTTTTCTCCCATTTTTTCACCTAACATTTTATTCTTCAGTATAACTTTTAAGGGGTATTGGAACGCTCTATACTGATAATGTTAAAAAGGGGTTTTTCAATGTACCTTTTCTAAAAACCTGTTGGAAATACAATCCCCAAATTTTTTTGCAAGTTAAGCATATATCTAATATTATATTGAAATGAGTTTTTTTTTTAATTTCCATTAGTTTTTCTTTAAAAATTTTTTATTTGATGTATAGTGAGAAAACAGTGTTTTTCGACAGAAAAAAAAATTATAAAAAAAATGTATACAAAATTTTGCTAAAAGCTCATTCAGTATATACTAGAATATATAAAGAATGTGTCATGTAAGTTTTGTTGACATCAGATATATACTTTCTGAGAAAAGGTACATCGAACCTTCAAAAGTGACATTTTGAGAAAAACACATTTTTATAAAAAAAAAATTAGCTTATCAAAACATTCCAGCTCCATATTCCAAATTTTCAGCATTTTTTAAATTTTCATCTTCTTGTTTCATTCTTTTAAGTCTTTTTACTTTTCTAGTCTCCTTAGTTTTCTGTAAATTGGCATATCTTATCCTTGTACTGCTCTATTTGTCGAGATGTTCCATGCAGCATGTCGCATAATATCCTCGCTCTATGTTAAGTTTTTTTTTAAATATCCAGCTTTGTTGCATTCCCTTTATTAAAGGATGCAATAGCATCATATGTATCAAAGGAAAGTGTTTCTATGTGCACAAATGTCTTTTTGGGGACACGAGACCAAATAACATTATTAATGCTTTCATTCGGATTCTGCGTTTCCATGCAAGCACTTTTTCAATAATTCTGGATCCGAAAGGTCCCTAAAAATAGGCCTAATGGCTTCAACAACAGCAACTGGAAGTTTATGTTTGTGGAGATAAAGTTTATTTTCCAATTGAGCCTTCTTACACTGACACCATGTGTCAAGACCTGATGGACAAAATCCATGCTGTGGATTTTTAACCGCATATTTTGTGAAGAAATATTGCCCATATAGCTTGTTTCATACACTTTACATTTGATAAATTTCTTCGAATGGCAAGACCATAATATGTTTGCAATTGATCAATAGTTGCTTCTGTTAATCTATTTTTGCCACATAATGCTTTGCCATCTGATAATTTTTGCCCCCTCATTTTTGCTTTGAAACGTCGGAGGCGAGATCCCATCCGTTTATAACATGCCCTAAAGAAATTTTAAAAAATGACGTCAAACTTCAAGCTGACCCAAGAGGAAGTGCAATGTTTACCTTTTTTCTGTCCATTTACATCGGTGACTCGCGTTTAAAAGATTCTTTAAAAATAAAATTTTAGCATATCTAATTAAGCTAGAGATAAAAATGAGGTATTTTTGGAAAGGTAATGAGCTGAAGAATTTAAAAATGCAATAAACCTGAAATTCACCTTTTAAAAAAAATTTACCTTTCCAACTCCCAGCATAAAAATAAAAAAAGAAATTTCTTGTCTTATTTGTAGAAAAAAAACAACCTTAAGCAAAATTTATTTTTCGAGATTGGCATAGTAAACATTGAATTAAATGTCTTTTCTTTAAAATAAATATTAATGCCAAAATAATTTTCCAGTATTTTTTATGGTAATAATACTGTTTAGAATTGAAATAAATAAATTGTTTATGCTAAAAAATCTGTCTGGAAGAATAATTTTATTATCGCTATTGCATGTATAATTATAATTAAGATGTCTGCATAAATATTAAAGAAATATATACTAGTAAAATCCTTCGTTTTTAGACTTGTTAAATACATATAAAAGAGCAACAGTAGAAATATAATTAAAAGTAAATTAATTAACATAATATTCTCTAGTTTTCATGAACAGCATTTTTGGTACGGATTTCTTTTCCTATTTAATTAATTTTAATTCTAAAATTTTAATTAATATTGCATTAAATTCAATACATAGACAAATTTAATGAAGTTGCTTTACAATATATATATATATATATATGCTCTTGGATAGTCTAGTATTTTGTTTACGTATTATATAGAACATGCGTTTAAAGATATGTCATAACTGGCATTGCATATATTGTGAACCTTTAACCATATCAGGTAGTATTTGAAAATAATTTTAAATTGAAAAGAGAGATCCTAATTAGAACTTCTACTACTTCATCTGTAGTGACTTTAGAGGATTATAGAACTCAAAGTTCTTAGTTTCAGAGACTGAAGTATAAATTTAAAATTTAAATATAGATTCTTCTTTTACTTTTAGATGCATCTTTCAAACTTACGCCAACTTTATGTAATAAAAAATTTTAAAAATCAAAATATTCTTACTATCATGTAGTACCAGAGACTGCAAAAATAGAGCTCTCTGATGGACTCTTCAACTTTTCCTAAGACTTATTTTTAACGAGGACTTCTAACACCAGAGATTATACAGTAGGGCGTAAAGGAAATTTCTGTAATTTTAGAATAATTTTGAACCTTTGAATAATTTAACAGCTTTGTTTAAATTTTTCGGCTTAAGCTATTTTGTATTTCATAATGACTCTCAAGGGTCTAGATAAAAAACAACAAACAAAAATTTTAAAAAATTAGTTCCGTTTCGTTAAAGAAAAATAAGTTTTTTTAATAGTGTAGGAAACATGGAAGATGTTAAAATTTCATTTGTACACCTGGCACTTTTCATTAATTAAATAGCTATTTCAAAACACATATTATTAAAAGTATTTAATTACTTTATAAATAATAGTAGAGACATAAATACACTGAAAATATGCAAATTTTCTTGCTCGTATCCAAAAAAAACAAACAGATTTGTGAGGGCCATATTTCAAAATAATATCAAATTATTGTCAATATCAACAACACAAAACATAATAACCCAGTCTAGAGATGCATCTAATTAATAAATATGAAGACAACGAAATATGTGAGATATGAGAAGACTTTAAATACTTAGTATACTTATTTAATTCAATAGCTCTGACTTCTCAGCTATATAATCTAGATTCAATCTCAAGTGACAGATCGTCACCTTAAGTAATAGAATTATCAATTACTAAATATCCACGCCTCACATTCAATTTGATTAATCACTGCTCTATTACCACACACACAGTATATCCTATCTCTCTCTCTTCTCTAACCTGAAAGCCTAGACTTTATATAGTAGTCCTAATGTTTGCATGCT